AAAAGTTAAGGCTATACACCAACCTCATGACGATAGGCTATTCAACAACTTTCCTTTCTATATTTATTTTTGTGCGTGCGTACTTACCCCTTTGACATTACACTAATCGCCCACCTAAAAGCCCTTCACCGAATAGAATGGCTGGTTTAAATATTTTATTTATTAAGAATATTCAAGTATTTTTATTTTTGTTGATAATTAAAAAGTTTTTTTTAACTAGTTAATGGTATACTTATTATACATTTTTAACATTAATTGATATTATAAAAAGATAAAAGTTAAGTTTTATTTAACTAACAACCCAATTAAAAATACCAACGAGGGGTTGAATCAAGTGGCAAGCGGCTTGTTCCAGTTTAAGTAAGGTCTCGAGGTCGAAACCTTGTGTACGCAGCAGTTTTCGTTGGGAGATTCATCCACCATTTTGGTGCGCCACAACTGGTCGAGTTCGGAGTAGTCGGGACTAAATCTTGAATACCGGGCGGGAAACTAAAAAAACAACCCAATTAAAAATGATACACATGATAATAATAGTAAAATTAATGTTAGTCTTTATATTTTTTAAGATTTATTTAAAATATAGATTAAGAGTGTAATAAATATATTTTTTATAACTTAATTACGTAAAAAATTATAAAAATTGGCTTTTATTTTAACATTATTGTCAAATGAATAATTTTAATTAGTAAATTAACTAAATTAAGATTAACATTTATATTTTTTTATACAAATTAATTACAAAAAAATATATAAATGCACCCTTAATATGTACTTAAGAGCGCAACACAAAAAAACCCTATTTTTTGATATAAAATAATGCTAAAAAATACAATAACTATACTTTTAAATACAAATTAAAAAAATCTATAATTAAAAGTTGATTTCCTCCCACGTTGAAAATAATAATAATAATTATTATTATTATAATAGGATTGTAAAAATATATGATATCTTTAATATCAATGCATCTAATTACAATCATAAAATGGACAAAATAACTCTATATAGGAATATTTCTTGATGTTTTAATTTTTAATTTTTATATTTTTTATTATTTTAAAAATATATAAAATATTAATTAAATTAAATATTATATATTAAATATATTTTATATATTTTTAAAATATTAAGATAAAAACTTATCACTGCAATTACATGGCAGCATTGTGAAACTAAATCAACTACACTTAAATCTTATTATCACGTGGATGAGATTAAACTTTTTCCCAATTTTCATCTACGGAGGTTCCGATTTTCACTTTTTTTGTTTTTTATTACTAGGCATTTGGTTTGAATTGTCTGAATTAAATTGAATTTTTAGTTATTTAAAATAATTATAGATAAAATTTTTATACTTAATTTAAATTAAAATTTTAATTTGATTATAAATTTAATTATTTAAAATTATTTAAATAATTTAATTAATTAACTAAAATAATTAAAATGTATCATTATTCTTTACTTTTTATTTTTTTTCTTAATTTTGATTATTTTAGTCTTTTTTTATTTTTTAACATATAAAATTGACTAAAAAAATTTATCCAAAAAAATTTATATAGCACAAAAATTAAAATAAAAAAATAAAATAAATTTATCTTAAAAAGTTTTAAATAATTTTAGATAATTTGATAATTAAGTAATTTGATATAAATCAATAATCATATCTAAATCAAAATTAATTTTTATAATTTTTATTTTATCTAAATTTATCTAAATATCTAAAATATTTAAACTAAAATTCAAAAATTCGTGTAAAAAATTTGAAGAGTTCGGTTACATCTCAAATGTGCTCACCCTGTTTTTTCTTAATAATTTTGTAAATAAAAAAAATAAATAATAATTTAAGCGCGAAGCAGCTTTTACTTCACAAAATCCCTAATCACAGAATCCCGTGAAGAAGATCGCTTTTATTTCTTCCACTGGAATTTGAAATTCAAGGCGCGATCCCATCCCACCGATTTTTTTTGTGTGTTCATGTTCTCTGTAAATCCACAAGGTACAGTTCCTACAATTATCCCTAATTTATATTACAATTGTACTTTCCTCTACTGTAATTGAAAAGCGAAACAAGGTAGTCAACAACTGTTCTGGAATCGAATCCCTAATGAATTTCTGTCGTTCATCTCTGTTTATGGTTTGATTTTAAGGTGATTTGGTATTTCTTGTTAATTTATGAATTCAGCAAGTTCGAGGCTGAGGGCATCGGTTTTTTTTGTCATTTGGTAGTTTGTAACACAGTAAGATGGAGAACATGCAGTATGCTGAGGAGCTTGTGAGGGAATTTCTGGTGTTCAGAGGGTTTACCAATACCTTACAAGCTTTCGAAACAGAATTATGCACGGATATTGGTAAAGGGTTTCAAGTGGATAAGATTTTAGATTTGATTTTCTCTGTATATATTCCCAAATTTCAGGCAGAAAAATTGGTGGGTCTGCTGAGTTTCTTTAAGCAATGTTTTTCTTCTTCCTCGGAGACTGTTTATGTTAATACCCTGTCAAAACTGGAGGTTTCTATTCTTCGCTGTTATATTGTTCATGCTGTCCAGTCAGGAAGGAAAGACAAAGTTGTAGAATTTTTTGGGATGAATGGAAATGATCTACTGCAAAGGAGCAATGAGTGGAGTTCTTGGTTTGGTGGGTTAGTTTCCCCTTTCACTTTGTTTTATGGTTTCTTTGTTGTTTTATTAATTGGGAATGCAATGCAGCTATTCCTTATATAAAGAATCCTAGCTTGGATGCCCAGTTCCGTGTTTATTTTTCTAAGGAATGGTATGAAGCCCTGCGCCTTTCTGTTAGGAATTTCTTCAGCGAGATCTTCAATGGTACTCATATCCTTTAGAATGGACTTCTCTTGACATGGTTTTTCTGAAATTATGTGATGATACATGGCCTCTCCCCCTCCCCCACCCCCAAAGAAAGAACCTGAATTACTCATCTTTGAAAGTTACATCCCTAAAACTATTTTCTGTATGCATTATTAGTACAATACAATAAATTTGGCAGTTACAGTTTCAGCATTTGGTCTTACAAACTAGATTGACCTTTAGGAGCTCAAATCTTGGAAACTTGTACTGCTTTTATGAGCATAAAAGATGATGAGGATGATGAGAATTTCTATAGAGCATGAGGTGATGTATTTGGAGCCTGAATCTTCTGCTACTTATATTATCAACTACTGCATCTTCTCTGCAAAGGCTATGAGGAATTTTTTTTCTTCCTTTTTATTGTTTTATTATCATTGCAAGTAAATAGAATGTTGAAGAATGTCCTTAACCAAGCCACGCATTCCAGCCCTATTGAAAATTAGTTCCGAAAGGAGCACAATTAACCGTCTTAAAAAAGACATGAAGCAACTAAATCTTAAGCTCTCTCAACTTCAGGCTTTATTGGAGGAGAAAGAGGCTCAGTTATGCCAATCAAAGAGGTAGAATATTCTGATTTATTTGAAACTAAAGTGGTTTACTGGCTGTATCTTGTTATTAACATTGATTCTATTTTGGCACTTAATAACACCAGTATTGCTGTGTCAACAATGGAGATGAACGTTGGAGCAACTAATGGCTCAAATTCATCGAGCAGTGTGCAACAGGAAAATATCCATTTCTCCACAAGTAGTGAGGAAACTTGTGTTCTCACTACCTCACATTCAAATAGAACAGAACAGAATCAAGAAAGTGCTTTTGGTGGACCTGCCAAAATTTTGTCAGGCTTTACCATGTCCAAGTCTCAGCATGATACAACTATTGTTTCAACTCTTTTTGCTGAAGGAACTGGTGATACAAGTAAAACATTCTATGATGGCCCATTTGTTGGTAAGAAAATCTTCTATATAACTTTTCCTTGTAAAGGCAATCTGGTAGCTGCATGACCATACTGTTGTAAAGATGTAGCAAGAACTTCATTGAATATTTATTAGACTACTGGACATTTATGAAATGTTAGGTTTGGTACTCTAAGGTAATATGTTTATAGCTTTAGTACATTTCTGAAGATGCTGAGGAGTCTCAGCAAAAAAGATGAGGAAACATTTGGAATAGACAACTGAAAAGTTGATAAATCTGTGGTCAGCTCAATTTTATCATGCAACTATTGGTTGAATGAATCTGTTGGTAAGAGAACACTGTTGTCTTTTAAAGACAGGAAATACTCCTTGTGAGACAATCAAGTTGTTTTAATTGTAATAAAATCAAGAGGCTTTAGAGAACATCTTGTTAATATATATATCTTTAGATGGAAGTATAATGGAAATATTGGGTTTAATGCTGCTGGGAACATATTGGTTATATTGGTTGGATGGGTTAAGTAATCATTGAGTGTGATTTGGCAGAGAATGGCAGTGAAATGCGAGGAGAAGAAGAATTTCCTGAGGTCAACGTAGATTTCCAGGTAAAATTGCTTAGACATCTAAGGTCATCTTTATGCATTGGTGTTTCTCAGTTATTTTCTATCAGCATTTGTCTGACTGTTTTAACATTTTGTCTTTTAGGAGACGTTTTTGGGCCATACTAGTCCAATTACTTGCTGCCGGTTTTCTGCATCTGGAAACAATATAGCTAGTGCATCTGTGGATGGCACTGTCAGGTACTCTTTGTGATATAAACTCATAAACACCTTACCTGAGAGACTGTTGCTGTCTGGGGCTGATAAATACTATTGTCTCTGCACATAACAGTTGTTGATCTAGGCTGATCACCTGTCATTGGTCCTTATAACCAGATCTCTGACCAATACAGTTTAGTTTGTTAGGTCAGATCTTGTTTGTGCTGACTATGGGCACTGGACTCTGCTTGTATTAGATGTAATGGCATCACACATCGATGGGATCACCTGGGTTATTGAATGTGTTAGAGGTCCTAGAGACTTAGGAGACAAATGGGATGTCCCTTTTACTTGCCATGTTTGTTTAACAAATATTTTCTTGCTAACATGCCTTCTTCCTTTCTACCGTTCTCATATTTATGAAGGATTTGGACATATGATTCTTCAACTCCAGCATCTAGAAATGCAACCATATATTGTGGAGCTGAAATTATGTCACTTGATTGGGAATGTAAATCTGATCGCTTGGTATGTAACAGATTGTTTCTAAAATGATAATGCATGTGATTCAATTTATTTTGATATATTCATATTGGAAATTCCCGCTTTTAAAATTTCTTCTTATTTCTTGGAAAAGCTCCTCATAGGCACAAATGATGGAGGAATCAAAGCATGGAATGTTGATGCAAAGAGAGTTGTTTGTGATCTCAGTACATCTGAAGCTTTTCCAAGGTACTTTTGGAATTTATGCTATGATTCTGTTAATTCCTTTGAACTCAGTCTTGTTGACTTTGTTGTTCCTTCAGTGTATTGGACTTAAAATGCAGCCCTGTAGAACCAATTTTTGTATCTGCTGCAGCATCCAAAAGGTATCCTCCTAATCTTAATTTCAAATTAAAGTGTCTCTATGGCAGTTCTGTTCTCTGATGAAGATTGTCTTGTATATGTACATTCTTTGGTGATCACTTGCTTATTTAAAGTCCTTTAATAGTCTCTTAAATTTAATCATGGACAAGACAAGATATTCTCAGGATCTTATTCTCTTCACAGGAATGGCTCTAGCTTCGTTGATAGTTTAGGGTTTGCTTCATTGACTGTATGGAACATGAAAACATGGAAACCTATGGTATGTTGTTGTTTATCCCCAGATTTTTTACTTAGTGGATTGCTGGTTTCTTCTGAAAATTGTCTATTATACCTTGATGAATTTCAACTACAATGAAGACAGTCCTTCCTCTTGGTGAAGATCCACCAGCAATTACTTCTCTATGCTTCAATCACAATGGGAAGATTCTAGCAGCCTCTGCAACTGATGGAATGATCCATATGTTTGGTATCCTTTTAGACTTCCAAGGCTTGATATATTTGTATATGATGTTTCCTCTAAGTGATTGATAGATTACAAGTTTTATCAGACATTCCCCCTTTTTTAAACTAATGGTTCCACCTGCGAGGACTTTACTGCCCTTTCAACCAAAATGCCTTGTTGATTATATGTTCCCCTTTTCTAAAGGGCCACTCTTAATTTTTGTTTTAATGGGTAAAAAGCGAAGAATACCCCATACGTAATAGTTTAGGTTACAAGCTTATAAGTGCACCTTGACTAATTAAAGACATGTCTGCTGGTCTGCAAATTACTGGGTGGCCTGCCCATGATTCTGCTATAAGCTCAATTCTTTTTGGTTCAGATGAGACAAGCATTTTTACCTTGGGTTCAGATGGAAAGGTAAATATTTTAATCCTTTTACCCTTAGTGACTCTAGCTGGAATATCGGACAACAGAGAATCTACAATCTTAGTCGTGTTCCATGGTTTTAATGTATATTGTGTTGGCATTATCAAGAGCTAAACTTGGAGATTCTTACAAATTGATTTTGTTAGATAATTGAATGGAGTTTGCAGAAACAAGGTCATATCCTTTGGTCAAGAACTCGTAGCAGGTAACCTACCTTTCTTTTCAAACTGCTATTACAGTAATCATTTTAGTTGTATAAAAGAAAACAGTTAAGTGGAGTTGACAACTTCAGCATTCCCTTTGACGTACCCTATCAATGAAATTCTTTAACATAAACCAAACTGTTTCCTGGTTGTAGAATTTGTTGTATCCTTGCTGAACTTGTATATGGCTAAATTTCCAATACCTTTGCATATGAGTTTCCTGAAGGAACTGAATAGGAATCTATTATGCACTGTAGGTCCTTTGACCCTGAGACATCAAAATATTATAGACACGAGATGGCACTGGATGCTAAAGGAAGGAGGCTCTTGGTAACATCTGGTTCAGTAAGAGCTCCCATATATCAGGTGAAACTGTCTGGCACATGCATAAATGAAAACACATGCACACTCTTACCCCACACGAATGCTATGGAATCTCCATTTTAATCTCCTAGAACAGGTGGTTCAGTGGCTTTTCTTTGATAGATTTCCTTTATTTGCATCTTGTATCAGATGCAGAGCTACTCAAACGGGTTGAGAACTCTTCCACACAGTGCAGCTATAACAACTGTAGATTGGCACCCAACCTTGCCCATCTTCCTGACTGGATCAGCTGATAACTCAGTCAGGGTAACTTCTATATTGTAAAGTTTCTTGTATGGTTTCTTTCTCAAAATTCTTTCGGCCATTTTGTATCAAACACATGAAACTTAGGAAATTTTTCTCAAAGTAGATAAATTTCTTTCTCAAAGTAGGCACATATCTAATGGCTCAAGATAAATTTTTTAGTAATCATTGAATGTTTTTATATCAATTTGTTGACCAGAAAAGAGAGCGTCGACAAACCTACATAACTGCACTAGACTACTGGACTTTTGAGAGTCAATAGTTTTTGCGATTGATTTCCAAGTCTTTGTGGAGAGAAAAAAAAAAAAAAAGCTCAGAAATTGGTTCAATGATCATGGGTAGTTCTCTAGAACTAGATTTTGAGAGTCAATGGTTTTTGCAATTAACTTCCTAGTCTTTGTGAAAAAAAAAAAAAGAAAAAAAAAAGAAACCTCATAAAATGGTTCAATGATAATGGCTTAGTCTCTAGAAAGTCAGTTGACCATGATGCATTGGTGCTGTGTGTGTTACAACAGATTTGACACTTAATAAACAACTATTTGAACACTAACAGCCGTCTAACCTAATTTAATGCCTCGTAATCAATACAAAAAGATGAAAAATAAATATGCAATAAGAAGAAGACCATCTTCGTATCATTGTTGGTCTGAGTAGAAAGAATTTGATTTTTTTAAATAAGGTTTCAAGTTTGAGTTTTTGTGAACAAAAAAATAAACGTTGAGAAAGCTTATCTTTAATAGGATCTGACGTGATTCAATTTTTGATTAATTAAAATTCAATGTGATTATCGAATATCAAAAAATTAATACTAAAAAAAAGGGCCGTTTTTCTTTTTTTTTTTTTTCTTTTAAAATTTTAGTTTTCCAGGGTTTTAGGTTTTTGCCTTGTTGGGTTACCATTGCTCAGTTCTTTCCTTAAATAAAATTAAAAACAGCAAGGTAAATCAGTACTTTAAACCATGGATCAGGGTCATGACTGATGAGAAAGATCTAAAGGTTTCTAACTAAATTTACGACTTTACCTTTGCACATAAATGGCAGGTAGTTCCTTATTAAGCTTGCATCTTCTCAGGGTGAAGTACTGTCTTCATGGTACCATTTGGACAGCTTAAGGAAATTTTGCTTTGATTGCAATTATTCACAGATCATCTTGAAATAAAGCCCTGTGCACATAACCGTATGAGGGTGTCCCAGAGTCTCTTGGAGGATGGACGATGGGCATAATGTGTTGACTTTTTTTTTTTTTCTTTTTTTTTCTTTTTACACTCCAACTTAGAAATTTCATTGATATTCTACTATATTTAGGGCAGAAACAACACAATATAAAATAATTTTTTCTCATCTAATATTTTACTTAATACAAGAAAATCTATTAAACGTTTAAAACAAGATTACCTTCAAAAAGATTTGCTGTCATTTTGTGTGGCTTCATGTTGCTGTGACTCTGCAACCACTTTGTTGCCTTTCATTTGCATTTGTATTTGTATTTGCATTTCATTTGTTGTTCATTGCAGTCCCATTTCATCAACATTTGTGGCTTAGCTTGCTAGCTGCACATTTTTGCTTTCATTTCAAAGCTTCATTTCCATTATATTTGCAGCTAAATTGCTGCCATATTTGATGTCAAATTGCAGCTTCATTTGCTGTCAATTTTCAGTTACATTGCTGCCATT